ACAGCATTCTAAAAGGGTCTTGAGGTCAAGATGGCTGTTGAAACAGCTGAAATTTGCATAACCAGACGTGCATATAAACAGGTGTCGGATTAACGCAACTCATTGGTAGCATACGTAGTCTCACAGGGGTGGGGGGGAGAGAGAGATAGCATACGAAGAGATGTCGGATGATAAACAAGCCGAATAAGCTTTGAGCCAGTACAAAGGCATGCAGTATCATTACAGACGCGAACGACTAGAACTGAAACAGGTTGGGTAAACAAGACTAGATGCGACAGCAACGCAACGGGCGGAAGACAGTGTGTCAGCTAAAACGAATACATGCAAGGAATTGGAGGAAAATAAGCTCCGGATGACAGGATCTATGATGAGGCTGCGGAACGACCTTCGACGAAGGCTATCCGCAAGCTGAACAGATCCACGACTCTAACGAATAAGTGAAAGTAGACGATTCTGCCCTGATTTGACAGATGACCTTACCGTGAAATATATCATGAGCCAAGGGCACATGACAACATGGCGGATGCTAATACACAGAAGTATTTATCATACTGACAGCACTCATATTAGCTGAAAGGCTTCGTACCTCCGCTTTACTATGGTAAAACATTGAATATTTGTGCACTACTGACTGGCGGCCTGGTGGCGATTATGTCGCCGAAATGGATTAGACCAATGCGCATACTAATTTACAGATCGAGCCTGAACAGCTATAGTCCAATGGGCCTACTCCAAGGTTGAGCAGCCTTTTTTCTGATAAGACTAAGAAAACGCTAACGAGATATAAGTACTTACATGATTTTTGCTTTCAACATCAGCACGGTAGTTGCCTGCCAAGACACGCAGCAGGGAGACGTCGTTGACTTTGGCTGCATAGTGAAGCGCGGTCTGGTAAAGGAAGAATAAGAGATTGAAGAAAAAGTATGTGAATCAGCACTAGCGGAACGAAAGATGAAAGCATATCGGAATCTTATAGCACATGAAAATTTTTTCGCCTTTCTGCACACTACAGTTTTCGGCGATAAAGACGACTGCAATGCGGGTTTCGCTAGAGAAAGTGAGGGCCTTACAATGTTACTATTACTTCCTTACCTAACCTTCCATCAGCTTTCAGTCCAAAAAATTACAAGAGAACTGGCTTGGCTACAACATCGCGCGATGCGCTTGAACCAGGAATTCTAGCCCATTCGTCAATTGCCTGTCTTGTCAGTCTAATGCGCTGAACCAGACCCCACAGGCGTGGTAGACGGGTCTGTGAACAGTAGTAATCTGGTCGATAATCGGTAACCGATCGGTGAGCGTCCATTTACCAACAGTAATCCGATACGCGTTGGTGAGCATTCACCTGACTGCTAGCGGGACTCATCTGTCCCGCTCTGCCTTGGACCCCACCAGAGGCCTTGACAGCCGTAACAGTTGATAGGAGAGGCAGATAGTATTGTCGACAAAAGAGGCTGGAATGGCTATTTCTGGCTTACTAGCCGTCGTCAACCAGTCATACACAGACCCAAAGGGTGCCACCACTCGAGCCTCGAGCTCAGTGTCTCGCCAATTTAGGTCAGGGAATATTAACAGGTGTTTTCCTCAAATACAAGAAAAATAAGCTCGGTTAGGGTTAAGATTAAGGTAAGTTGGGGTAAAGATAAGGGTTAGCGTTTACGGCGGGATTAAGGCTAAGATCAGGACTACGTAGTCGTGAGGCAGCCGAAGCTATGTAGCCTCAAATCCCCTTATTTCCTCCCTCTTTATTTTATTCCTCACTCAAAATCGAGAGACTGATGTTTACCATTGTTTTTTAAGCGATAGATGCCGTCGTTCAGAAAATGCGAAAAGTTTACACTGGCATTGAGGTCGCGAACGGTAAGCTGACAACGGAGTCTCCGGACGCCTACATTCCATATCAGACCCGGTAAGGATTGCCTATATGACCTCTCTAAACAGAACAGGAGAATGGGAACTACCTTCAGTGCAGGCGGTTTTGCGTAAAATTACTTGGAAATTATGGTTAGGCTTACAGTCCAATTTGGGGTTATTCGACTCCACGGCGCAGTCCTGACGAGATTGAAAAATATTTGGAGTATGCTGCACGATTTTTTTTAATATAACAACACAACTTAAATAATATTTACGATACTCCGTCCCGCAGGCTCGGATTACTAACCTAAACGAGGAGGCTTAGATGAAGTGAAAAAGCCCGGTAGATGGTGAGAGATGGAAGTTGGGAGCAAATAATGAAAAGCCGTGGCGGTCAACTAGCACATTCAGAATGCTGCTAATATTCACCCAATTAAGTAAAATGCCAACGTGAACAAGTGTGCAATTCAAGACTTACATTCTGGGATTTTCGATGGCACGCGAACGCATTGGAGGATTGAAAAATAAGAGTAGCAACGGTTAACTTGAGGGTGTTTAAATAGCAGAAGGAAAACAACAACAACAACGGCAACAACATAAATGTATGTCAAAAACAAGGTTAATAGATCACCGCACCCATACGTTTCACCACGCTCCTCCCTGACTTCAGCATTTGTTATTGGTGCGCAACCCGAATAACGCCTGCCAGACCCTGATCTGACTCCCTTGTTGGTCCAGTGCATCTAGCACGCGGCCCGCTTAGGGGACACACTTGTCCTATAACATACTATTTGATTGCACCCTTTAGGGCCTGATGTTCACTTTAGAACCCGCCACCACTCATGGCAGTCCGCCTTTCGTAGTCGATGACGGTAATCTTTATTTTAGGGTGTATGTGTTGGAGGAGTGACGAGTGGTGTTCGGTGACTGTCCGTGACACGAGGTACTCGACAAGTGCCTCCTGAACGGTCCATGCATTAAATGCGCTTAACTAACACTGAGCTAGATCAGCGCACGGCAGCCATGCGGAGTGGTGGGACGACTAGATGCGGTTTAATGCTGGGTCAGCCACCTGCGCCCTCTCCCGCCATCGGTCTTCTTGACTTCGTCGTGACACCAAGGCCAAGAAAATGGGGAAATAGACAGTGCGGCAAATTAGACACAAGTATACTATGACTAGAACTTCACGCGTAACTCACTACCC